TGAAGGATATTTTTGCCAGACATAGAATTCTGGGTTGACAGTACTTAAAAATGTTGTTCTACTCTCTTCTGTCTTTCATGGTTTCTGGTGAGAAATCTGTGGTCATTTGACTTGTTGTTCTCCTAGATGTAATATGTCATTTTATGTAGCTTAAAATATATTATTTTCTAATCTTCTTTTCTCTTTATTCTTCAGATTGGATACTTTCTATTTATTTGTCTTCAAGTTATTAACTCTTTTGTCCTCTCCTTTTTTGCCATGAAGTGCATCAATGATTACAATTTTTTTTAATGTAGTATTTTTCAGTTGTAAAATTTCCATTTGGTTCTGTTTTTATAGTTTCTTTGCTCTGCTAAGAAACTTTCATTCACTTCCAATGTGTTTTCCTTTATCTTTTGGAACAGAGTTATAATTGGCTTTAAGGTCTTTGTGTGATAATTCCAACATCTGTGTCATCTTGGGACTGGCATCTGTTGATTTTCTTTCCCCTTCAGAATTGGTCACATTTTCCTGGTTCCTTGAATGTCAAAATAATTTTAGCTCATATCCTGGACATTTAAAATATTCTGATGTATAGACTCTTGGTCCTGCCAAACCCTCTGGAGGATTTTCAGCTGTGTTTTGTTTTAGTGGAGAATCAGCCTAGTTAGGATCTGACTGCAAATTCTGTCTCTCCTACATGGGAAATGGTTCCACACTTAGTTTAGTTTTCCATGCCTTTGTTTGCTGCTTTGTGTCTGTCCTGTGTATATGATGCTCAGGGGTTTGCCTGAAACTGGGGCAGTGGTTTAAATCTTACCTCAGTTCTCTAAACCTTTGACCTGCTGCTTTGTGTCTCTTGTGTGTGCAGCTCAAGGGAGAGCCCAGGACTGGAGAGGACTTACACACAGAGGAACCCCTTCCTCCTCACACTCCTTCCCCCTTTATAGGGTCTCTTTTCCTGGTTCCCTCAGCCAGAAAGAGCAGGTTTCTCTTGGAGGTTTGCTGCCCAGTTCATTGCTGCTGCACAGCTCCACAACTGGGAGCTGCTCTTTGGACAAAGCCATGAGAGAAAAGAGAAACACATGAGCATTCCCCTTCCAAATTTTCCAGCCCCCAGGGGTCCCTTTTCCTGCTTTCTCTGTTTAGAAAGACGGGATTTCTACTGGAGAATTAGCTGGTCATGCTGATGGTTCACAGCCCCACAGCTGGGGCCCACCCTCAGCTCAGAGCCACGTGAGCAAAAGGGAAAAACACACGGGTCACTTCTGCAAGCTTTGTCGCCCCGCCATGATGTACCTACTTTTGTTTACTTTTTTGAGTCCTCTGAAAGTTTATTTTTAAACAATTTTATCCAGAGTTTTTTTGTTGTTATTAGTGGGAGAGACGGGCTATAATAGGCTTACTCCATCATGGATGAAACTGGAAGTCAACTTAGTTTTAACAGGAGCACCTGGGCTGATTTTTTTGAGAATAGACTGAAGGAGGCGAGAGAAGCAGGGAGCCAGTTAGGAGGCTACTGCAGTTGTCCAGGCAAGAGTCACGGAAGCTCAGGCCTCAGTGGTCGTCACGGAGGTGGGGGAAATAGTTGGATTCTGGAGATTATTTGAAGGTTAAGTCAATACATTTTGCAATGGGATGATAGAGAAATAGGGTAAAAATGATTAGAAGATTTTGTTTATTTAAAATTTATTTTTGCTTAAGCAACTGAATGCACTTGCCATTAATATGGAAGGAGCAGAACGGAGGGGAAGAAGGAAGATGAGGCGTTTGTTTTGGGACATGTTTAGTTTGAGATGCCCATTCGATATGCAAATGGAGATGTCAGAGCAACCTGTAAATACCAGCCTGTAGTGAACGGGAGGTCTGGGCTGGAGACATAAACTCAGGAGTTAATGGCATATGGACGGCATTTCAAGCCATGAGACTGGGTGAGGGCACCTATGGGGTGGGATATAGAGAGAAGAGGCCTGGTGGCTGGCGCCTGAGGAGCCCCAGTGTTGACTTGTTGTTTGACTCGGGAGGTTGGAAGCAACGCCTCCCAGTGGCATGTGTTAGTCAGGGTCCAATCAAGGGACCGTACCACGCTGTAACTTGAACAGAGGAAGTTCAATATAGACAATGTTGGGGTGGGAGTCATGAGGGAAAAAGAACTCAAAGAGTATAGAAATGACTGATGTAAGGACTAGCAACTTGGGCTGTGATAGAGGCCCCAAGGAAAAGCCATGGCTGAGATCCAGACCTCGGGGGAGAGGGCACAGCCACTGCTCGCTGGGTTCCAGAGAAGTCACTGTGGTGCCCCACCAATGGGACTTGCTGGGAACCTTCCATCCAGAACCTACTAGCACACCCTTTAGGGTGCTGGGGAGAGCTTTCTTTCACAAGGAGGTGTCTTGCTGGGGGCACTTTGATATGTAATTGCCCAAGAAGGATGCTGAGGAAGCTCCTGGCTGCTGGCTGCTGTGCCAGGGGGCCTGATAGTACCAGGGGTGGGCAAACTTTTTGACTCGAGGGCCACAATGGGTTCTTAAACTGGACCGGAGGGCCTGAACAAAAGCATGGGTGGAGTGTTTGTGTGAACTAATATAAATTCAAAGTAAACATCATTACATAAAAGGGTACGGTCTTTTTTTTTTTTTTTTAGTTTTATTCATTTCAAACGGGCCGGATCCGGCCCGCGGGCCGTAGTTTGCCCACGGCTGGTATAGACGGTGTCTGCGCTGCAGGAATCTGCACTGGGGAAACGGCCGAGAGAGCACAGTGGAGGCAAAGTCCCCTACTTCTCAAGGCCTCACCAATGTTTATGGAAATGCCTATAGACAAGGCTTAACTTCATACCAATGGATCTAAGGGGATCAGCTCCATTTGCACAGAGTAGGGAATAAGGGTGAATTTGGAGCTGAGGCAATACATTGATAACTGGCACAGGTGAATGTGGGTCTGGCTGAGGAGAGGCACCAAGGCCAGATGGAGACAACCTTGATGTTGCTGTCACCTGAGGGGTGCATGTGATTTCACATGGGAGATGGGATGGGAAGTCAGGAGCCTCTGGAAGCAGGAGGACAGGAGGTGGCTGGTGAGTCCCGGGTCAGGCAGGCCTTAGGCTGTGAGCAGAACAACCTGTATGTTCTCAGGTTGCTCCATGAAGTCTGAGCATATAAAGATGGAAGGTGTGCTTCCTGCTCTCTAAGGAGGACCCTCCAGGTGAGACAGCGGCACCCAGTCCCTGCTGTGAGATATGTGCCCTAATGGGGCTCTGTCATGACTGCACTTTGGCTGACTCCGACCTGTAATACAGACACATCTCCAAACTGGGCATGCTCTCTCCAGTCATGGCTTTTACACATGTTGTTGCCTACCTGGGACACTTCTTCTTCCTTGGTGTGGCTAACTCATCATGCTTCGCATCTCTGCTGGGATACTACATCTTCCAGGAAGCATTTAATGATGCCCAGTCTGGGCTGGGCCTCTCCTCTGTGTACTGTAGCATTGATTCTACCCTTAACACAGCATTTAGCATACCCAGCCACAAGTGCTTGTTTGCCTGTCCATCTATCAAGTGGGACTGTAAGCTCTCTGAGGATGAGGGCCAAGTCTTGTTCATTGCTATTTCCCCAGCATCGGGCCTGGCAAGTAGTAAGCCCCTATCATATGTTGCATGAACAAATAAAGGTTGATAGGTTGAAAGCTGGGTACAAGAGAAGACGGGATGGCAGGGGGTGTATGAGCAGATCATTCAGGGGTTGGATGCAATGTTAGGAAGTTTGAGCTCTTTGGAAGGCAGTGAGGAGCCACAGAGGACTGTAAGCCAGGTCAGTTTTCTATGTGAGAAAGACCTCTATAGCAGCCTCATGGTGAATGAGTTGGATGAGGGTAAGAGCTGGGACAGAAAAATGAGGAGGCCCCTGCAGTGATGCCAGAGGAACAGGGTGTGGGGTTGGACCCAGGGAACAGATGGAAAGGTTCACCTTGGCCAGGAGAAGGGCACCTCTGGGTTGCAGGGCAATGCCTGGAGAGAAGTGGGATGTTTGGCACTTGCTTTCAGAGCCTCTGCTATAGGTCTTCTCTCCCTTGCTGAACTGTGAGCCCCTCCAAGGAAGGGTCCGAGCCCTCTTTTCTCAGCACCCACTCTATCCCCAGGATAGCCTCTGCCCAAGTCCCAGGATGGAGTCTAGGAGGCAATCTCCCCACCCCCAGCATGATCCAGAAGGAGAGGCCAGAGTCCTAGTGATGTTAGCTTGGCAAGTTTATTGAAAACCCAGGAACACAAAGAGCAGTACAAACAGGTCCCCCAACCCACCCCAGGCCTCCCTGGAGCTTGCAGAATAAACCCTCCTGCAACGGACAGGGCTGGGCCTCCCTCACACCACCAACAGTTGTGTGGGGTGTAGCGGAGCTCACCCACCTCATGAGCTCACACGCTGCAGAGTTAAACCAACAACCCAGGAAAAGAAGTAGCCAGGACGTATGTTCCTGGAAGAAGAACCATCTCAGGGTACTAAGGGGTCCCCTGGGCCATCAAGGACTGTGGATCCTTCTGAGTCAGGAAACTAGGAAAACACCTTCTCCTGCCAGGGAAAGGAAGAGGAAGGAGGCAAAGGATGCTGGCCCAGCTGCAGTATGGACAGTCAACTTTCCATTCTCCAAACTAGTCCAAAGCTGGGATGGCCATGGTGCCCAATGACATTCTTTTTGGCTTTGGACTGTGCCTATTCTCCCCAGGCACAGATTTTTGTAATTGTATCGAATCTGAATTCTTGAAGCTGTTCAGATGGATGGTGAGGAGTGAGCCAAAGGAAGGACACTGGGAGTCAGGGAGAAACCCATCTGGATGGGGCTGTGGATGGAGCATCCAGGCAGAGAAGAGTATCCCCGAGAGGAGACAGGCCGGGCAGAGCCGTGTCCCTTCCTGGTAGGAGGGGAAGCCCCCACAGCCCAGGGCCCAGGCGCCTTGGGGACAGAAGCAGGGGACACTGAGATGGTTCTTCCCAGGGCAGTGGCTGGCTGGCCATAGTAGACTCTCAGTACTTGGTCCGGCGGGAGGTGGTGGTGGTGGACACAAAGCGGACGCTGGAACCTCGGCTGCTGCGGCCCCCACTGCAGCTGCTGAAGCCGCCTTCGGTGGGCAGCGGGCAGGGGATGCTGGGGGGGCAGGGGGTGCAGGACTCTCTCATCAGCACCGAGCCTCCCCGGGAGCCTGTGCTGAGCAGGTCCCCGCTGCCCATGATGACCTGGGCCCCACCCAGACTGGAGCCACAGACGCCACCAGAACGGATGCTGCTGCCAGAGAAGGTGACTCTGCCGCGGGAGAGGGTAGAGCTGGAGACCAGGGGCTCAGGCCCACACACCAGGCCACCGCGGGAGCTGCTCACGGCTGCAGGAGGGAGAGATCATCAGTGAGGCTGCATGGCCTTCATGCTCCCTCTGTGGGGTGGGAGGTCAGGGCCCTGGGTGGAGGTGGTCCCTATTGTCTACACAGTCAATATCCACTTCTTCTCTTGTCTGGGTGACTCAAAGGCTGTGACTCTGCTAGTCAAACATTCAGAGTAAATGGAAGGATTCAGTCAATACCCCAGATGTTTGTGTAGAGCCATAGGTTGGTTCTCATTTATATCTGGCCAGTCACGCTGTTTTGTTGAGAGTACAGTGAGCTGCATGATCCAGACAGTGGGAGCAGTAGCCTTTATAAACCACTAGGCTTCTGTCTTCCAATTACTCCCTGCCCCTCAGTGGTTCCCACATGGCCCCTCCAATAAGAGTCCCTTGTAAGTTCTGTTCTGATCTCCGCTCAAGCCTGACTCCTGCAGAAAGCCATCGTGGTTGCCCACCCCTCTTGGTGGTCACTGTCATCCAAGCACTTGCAGCTCTGACCCACCCAGGTTATACTCCGTTCAACCTCACATCTGTGTATATTTGTGCTTTTGGAGTCAGAGATCTGGGTTTGAATTCTGGTTGTGCCACTGACTATGTGACTTCTGGCAAACCACGTATTTTCTCTGAGTGAGTGAAAGGGGGTGGCCAGTGCCTGTTCCTCCCCGCAGGGCTGCTCTGAGGGGTAGGCTGACAGTGGATAGGACTCATCTTCTCAAGAAGATTATAATTCTAGAGGCAGGGGCTGGGGCTCACCTTCTTTGTGCCTCCACCATGCAGTGCCAAGCATGGTGCCCTGCATGCTTTGGGTACAACCAATACTTTGTCTGGCAGCAGCAGCAGCAGCAGCAGGGGGACTTCCATTCAGCTTTGTCCCATCCCCTGCCATCAGGGTGTAGGGAACTCCCTGGCAGATGTCTTTCATTCCTCCCCTGGCTTTTGTCCTTACGGGACAAGGCCACTAAAAATGAAAGGGCTGCTGCTCTTCTGGAACCCTCTCCCACCCAGGAGGCCCTGCAAACCTTGGTGATTGCATACCCTGGGGAGGGTAGGCTCAGGGGAGAACTCAGACCTCTGCTAAGGGGATTCTCTAGTCCAGGGGCCAGATGGTCCCTGCTCCCCTGACTGTCCTGGCCAGCCCAGCCATGGGCTCCTGACCCCAATGTGGGCCTGAGTTTAAAGGAAAAGTTTTGAAGGGCATCAGGAGAGAAATGTGTAGAGGAAAAGACTTCAGTTTCTTACATATGTTTACTGGTCCAACACCTTCGCAGATCCTGGAGAGAGAAAGAAATAAGTCAGTTCACAAGTAGTGTTGTTCTCTGGAAACCCGCTTGCTCTCAGAAGGGCTTTCCTGGCTGAGTAGACCAGTGGACCAGTGGTTTTCACCCAGCTGTACAAGCATCCAGAGAGCTTTGAAAAGTGACATGTTCCTAGACCTTACCCCAAAACGATTTAACAAGCTAACTAAATCTTTTAAACAAGCTAACCACATTAAGCAAAACTCTGTTTCTGATGCAGCCTGTCTGCAAACTTGCATTTAGGAGGCACAGACTTAGAGTCATCTTCTAATCCCTTGCCAGGGTCAACCCAACTAATATTTGCAGAAAAGGCTCTCTTACTTCTGGAGATGGATATTTCAGCATTTCTTCACCTGGTCGCTGTCCCCTCCTCCCCCGCTGCTTAGTCCAGATGTCCAAGTCCGACCTCATTCCCTCTTGGTGCCCTGTGAGCACTCACCGGATCTCCTCGCCCTCCAGCAGGCGCCTGTAGGTGGCGATCTCAATGTCCAGGCCCAGCTTGACGTTCATCAGTTCCTGGTACTCGCGCAGCTGCCTGGCCATGTCCTGCTTGGCCTGCTGCAGGGCGCCCTCCAGATCTGCCAGCTTGCATTTGGCATCTTTGAGGGCTGCCTCACCCCGCTGCTCCGCCTCAGCCACTGCGGCCTCCAGCTTGGCCCGCTGCAGGGAGGGCAGTTTGCTGGTGGGTTTTGGCAGAGACTAGGGGATCCCTAGGTGGGGCTAGAAACACTGCCGCCTGTTAGTGGGGACACAGCCTGGTGCCAAGCCAGGGATGGAGCCCATGTGGCTACTTTCCTAGGGACCGTGAACCTGCAGTTTGATGTCAACAGAGGTGAAGCATTGCTTTTTTTCAGTTTCTAATCCAGTGACTTTGCACTTCCTTATATCTGCTGCTCCAAGAGCCATGGGCACCAGAGTAAAACTATTCTTTGCCCTCCACCTGCTCCTTCAAGTTGACCCCAAGCGTTTTCTTCTATATGGGAGACCCTCCTTTCCTTCCACATTTTCCTCTCCCAGGAAGTCTTTTTGTACTAATCCCTCCATTCCTCCATTTCTGGGTCCTGATGGTCTCCCCTATATCATCAGACTTGGAGCTCCCCAAATTCAGAGCCCTGCTTCTCCTTTCTCTGGGGCTTTCTCTATTTTCTTTTGCCCACCTGAGTCTTGGCGTGCTCGATCTCTGTCTTCAGCCTCTGGATCATGCGGGTCAGCTCATTGATCTCATTCCGTGTGTTGCGCAGGTTGTCACAGTGTTGGCCAGCTGTCACCCGCATCTCCTCATACTGTGGGGTGGGGTGGGGAGAGGGGGATGTTCTGAGGGCTCAAAGGTTGGATCAAGACCACAGCTTCAACTGAATTGGGGGTCTCGCACCTCCATGGGGCCCACTTAGTTGTACCTGAGTCTCACCCCAAGGCTACCTACACCCCTTCCCAGCCTGCCTCTGCCCACCTTGGTCTGGTACCAGGCCTCAGCATCAGCCCGACTGCGCCTGGCAACCTCTTCATATTGGGCCTTGATTTCGGTGATGATTCCATCCAAGTCCAGGTCCCGGCTGTTGTCCATCTTCACAATGACCGAGGTCTCTGAGATGTGTGACTGCAGCAGCTGGATTTCCTGTGTTGGAGGATCAGTAAGAGAGAGGGACTCAGTCCCATCAGTGGCCAGGATGCTGCCACAGGGTCCCCAGGATGTAGTGTCAAGAGCAGAGAGTATTGCTTGTTTGTTCAGAGCAAAGCTATGGGACAGGCCATCCAAACCAAAGGTGAAGAAAAAGGCATGGCCAAGAACCACTTCTGTTTGACTTTAAAGTCTTGTTATGTACTCAGAGACATCCCTTTACCACCCTAACTTTTGCTTAGGTGAATATTAAAACCATGGGGGCCTAGACTTTAGGTGAAGAAGAGTGAGAGCTATACTAGGGATACACTTTTCTTTGGATTATCCTCAAAGTGGCTGTGCCATTCATGGATTATTGAGAGCTGACAATATTTTAGAACATGATGGTCTAGGAATTTTACACCTCAAGTCCTTAACAGAACCAGGGGGCATGGAACTGGCCTGCGAGGTGATGGCTCCAGAGGGAGCTTTCTTTAGGGTTTCCATTCAGAGCCAGACATTCAGCTCTGGCTGGGTCTGTATCAGACCAAACAGACCATTTATGAAGCAAAAGAGAGCTAGTTCATTTGGCCAATTAGGTCAAACATGATTTTTTTTTTTTACCTCTCCTAACAAATCAGTTTTCCAGAGTCTTCTGATCAATAGATTGAAAGTGATATTCCTAGACCCCGATCTTTGGATTGGTCAACTAGGGGTTGTACCATGGATCCAAGAAGTTTATACATAGATCTGAGTCAGGCTGCTGAGAAGCCTGCTTACCTAACCTTCTCCACTGATAGATCTATTGACATATAGAGGATATAGATTTGAGTGGGAGGAAAGATGTATGACACCAAATGTTAGAAAATGTGCCAGTTCAGGGGAAGCCCCCAGGGAGTCCAGGCTAAGCAGTGATCTCATATGGCCGAGAGGGGATGAGCCCTTACCTCCATGTATAGAGTTTTCAGGAAGTCAATTTCCTGAGCTAGGGTTTCCACGTTGGCCTCTAGATCAGATTTATGTAAGAAATTTGAGTCCACATCCTGCATAAAAGAGAGAAGGATAAGATGCATATTACTTTGCACTGTTTAACCCCCGCCCCCACCTTGGTGGAGTCTGGGGATGGGTGGGAAGATCAGACCAGTCCCACAGGGCCAGGCCAGGCTATGGGATGGGTGGTAAAGTCACTGGGTGGAACTGCAGTTCAGTGACTGTGGCTCTTCTCCTGCTGCAGCATAAACACCCCCCTGGGGCCGCTGGATCTCTCCTGATGCTTATTTAGAGGCAAGGAGAATCTGGATAATCCCAGGCATCTAAATAATAAAAGGACATCTATACAATTTAACCTGCCCTGGCTGGTTTGCTCAATGGTTAGAGTGTCGGTCCATGGACCGAAGGGTCATGGGTTCAATTCCTGGTCAAGGGTGTGTACCTCAGTTGTAGTCTGGCCCTGGTTGGGATGAGGGCAAGAGGCAGCTGATTGTGTCTCTCTCACATTGATGTTTCTCTCTCTCTCTCTCTCTCTCCCTCCCTCCCTTCCTCTTCTCTCTCTTCCATTCTGTCTAAATATCAATGGATTAAAAAATAAATAAATAATCTAACTGATCTTAAATAATCTGAGACCAAATTAGAACCTCGAAGAGACCTTGTGTGACCTTAAGGGTTCCCCTCTGTGTGAATGGTCTGAGACAGCACAGGGATGCCTGGGCAGTGTCCGGAGGGGTCTCAAGGACATTTGCTTTCTGGAGAAGTTTACCTATTGCTTTCCCTTACCTTCTTCAGAGTCACAAACTCATTCTCAGCGTTGGCCCGGAATTCCACCTCTTCTTCGTACCTGGAAGATTAGAATTAGGAGAGTGAGTTCTCATTCTGAACTGAGAGCCAATGACTTCCAACTTCCCGGTGAGTCTCTTAAGACCTCTCTTCTCCACCCAGGAGCACAGCTTCCTGTTGTTACCTACAGGTTCTCAGCCATTCTGTCCTTTCTGTAAGACCTTACACGAACCAGTAGCTCTCAGTTTCTCCAAATCCCTTTAACATTCTCAAATAGGATGTGGGGCCTGAAAACATGGTCCATTTCTTTGCTCCTCTGCTAGAAAAGATTTAGAGTCATTGCACATGACCAGAGAGGAAGTAGGACCCAACTTGTTGCTGAATGTGGGCACTGTTCTCACAATCAGAGGGCTCTTTTTTCTGCGGCTAACTCACCCATTTCCACAGTGAGGATTAGGAAAAAAACAATGCCCAATTACAAGCCTCCTTTTTCCTCAGGACCTATGGAGGGCCTCCTCCTGCTCCCTTACATATCATTGCCCCCACATCTGTCTACAGACTGTGTATAGAAACCAGCATTCAACCCTGACCCTTCCAGCTGCTCTCATCTGAGCTTGGTCACTGCTTTAGGGACCAGCCCATGCCTGTCCTTGGTCAGTGCGGTCCAGATGCCACTCACTTCTTCTTGAAACCTTCAAGGACATCCTGCATGTTGTTCCTCTCAGCCTCCAGACGGGCCCGGTCGCTGCTGGCTGCATCCAGCTGCCTCCGCAGGTTAGTGATGTAGCTCTCAAAGAGGGGCTCCAGGTTGCTCTTGGCACACTTCTGCTCTTGGAGGAAGTTCCACTTGGTCTCTAGAAGCTTATTCTGCTGTTCCAAGAACCGCACCTAAACCCACAAGGGCACAGAAAGGGCAATTGAAGTGCTTGATAGAGTCACTTACATGCCCACCAGTTGTTCAGATGGTCAGAAATGACTCCCGACACTGTGGTGACATTGTTCTCTCCTCTGTTGACATTAATTCCTGCTCTAATTCAGTAGAACATGGAAGAGCAGGCCTGTGACCCCCTCTTCGTGCTCAGCCAGGCTCAGCTACAAACAGAGGCTTTTGAACCAAAGCACCCGAGGACCGTTTCTCCTTCTGCTCTCTGAAAAAGGTGTAAACCAGTTCACTGGGAAGTTAGAAAGATTGATTCTGCCTGAGCTGGGGTTTGTCTATGCCTAAAAACTGATGCCAGCCATCCTGGCAGGAAGTGAGGAGGAGGGTGAGGTACATTTGGGGTAAGATATGTCATTAGGAGGTGGGAATTCTCAGGTCAGAGGTCATACCCATCATCCCAGATATTCCATCAGCTGAGATTTGTAGAGCTGGAGGAGAACTTAGGGATCATTTGCTCCAGCCCCTCATTTTAGATGAGGAAACTAAAAAGGCTCACAGAAGTGAGTTTCCAATCTCAGATGCAATCAGAGCATCCCCACTCCATGGAGACATGGTTTGTGGGATGTCAGTTCCACATCACTCTTCCTCTCATCAGCCTGAAGATCAGTGACTACCTATGGTAGTTCCCCACTATTTCCCTCAATCTAGGCAAATGGGCTGAGTCTGGATAACCTATGTGGAGATATGAATTCTTTGTTTTCTAAAAAAATTACTCAACTCCATTATCCAATTTCCTAAGCCTGGTCAGATGTGGCCACCCAGCCTCAGGAACTATGAACACTTCAAAGAGAGCATGAGGGACTCAAAGAATAAAACCTTTTAAACCTATATCAGGTGACACCTGGCCAAAGTCCTACTGTTTCCAACCTATCTGGGAGATCGTTCTAAGTGACTAGGTAGTAGGTCTTAGTTTGTCCAGATGCCCTCAGACTTGGCTGGAGGGTCCTCTTTCCTCCAAAAGATGCAACCTCTGTGTTAGTCTAGCCCTCCATGCAGTGCTCCTCAGGCCCATCCTAGTTCTACAGCAGAGTGTTCCAGAAATCATACTGCAATACCTTTGGTTGACACCTAAAGGATCTTGGGGTCAAGGTCAATGCCCTAGGCCTGGGCTATTTCTTCTTAAGGGAAAGAACACCCAATGCATTTTAGCTCTTACCATCCCAGACCCAAGGATTGAACTGTACCTTGTCAATGAAGGAAGCAAATTTGTTGTTGAGGGTCTTGATTTGCTCCTTCTCATCTCGCTTCACCCTCTGAGCATTGGGGTCAATCTCCAGGTTGAGAGGGGTTAGCAGGCTCTGGTTAACAGTCACTGCTGTGATAGATGGGGCTGCTGGGACTCCAATTCCTCCAACTCTGTAGCCAAAGCCAGGGCCACCAAAGCCATAGCCAAGGCAACTGCTGGCTCCAAACCCTAGACCAGCACCACACCCACCACCAGCACCAAAGCCAACTCCACAGTGGATGGGACGAGAGCCTACAGCTGCTATCCGGGGTGAGCATGATCCATAGGTGATGACACTCCGACTACCAAAACTGCCAAGGCCTCGGAAGCTAGACCCACTCCTGCAGGAGACGGAGCTGGCTCGGAACCTGTTCAGGTTCTGCGGGGCCATTGCTGAGCAAGAGCTGAAGTTGCCCACACGGCGACCAGAGCTGGCTCGGTAGGAGCGGCAAGACATGATGGCTTCCTGGATGAGAGCAAAGCAGCAATTGCAGAGTGTGGGGTGAGCTGGAGCTGGGAGTCCCTCTGAGGCTAGTGGATTCCTCTCACCCCTTTTATGTGTGTGGGGATCTGAGGATTGGCCCCATAAAAATGGAAAAAGCCATTTGGAGGCATTTATGAGCTTGGGTAGTTAGCAGAAATTCTTCATGCCTATAACCTCCTTAACAATGAGCTAATCTCAGGCACACCTATTCTCTTTAGGATTAGGGCTATAACATCAAACCTATAAATATTAAAAACGCATAAACACATAAACATTATGGTCCTATTTTTCCCCACAAGTCCACCACAATTGCCATTATGGGGATATTAATTTGCTTTGGTCATAAATCCAATAGACTTTTGCATTGCAAGTGTGGCTAACCACCAGAAAGTTAGGATGGTGGTAGCTCTAAAGTTAAGAGGCTCACAGGGATGCATCTATATAGACATATCCCTTTAAAGAGGTGGGATGTGCAGAAGAGAGACAGGATCTGCAGAGCTCCAACTAAGAAATAATACAGCACCCTGGCTGGTGTGGCTCAGTTGTTTGGGTGTTGTCCTGTGCACCGGAGGGTTGCCAGTTTGATTCCCGGTCAGGGCACATGCTCGGGTTTCATGCTTGAGTTCCCAAAGGGGCCATGCAAGAGGCAGCCAATTGATGTTTCCCTCTCACATTGATGTTTCTCTCTCCCTCACTCTAAAAAGCAATAATACTATTTTTTTAATAAAGAGAAAAAAAGAAATAATATGGCAAGAATACACTTTATTGCATTTCTGTAGATGAATTAAATAGTCCAAAAACCTTTAGCGGTGCTTTATCCTCTATGATCTGGTTTGGCTGTTTACATAGGAGTTCAATCTTCAGTAAAGCTGTTAGTGTAGACACATGCCTAATTTGAGACACTCAGAGGAGATTCATTCATTCATTCACTTACTCACTCACTTAACAATTATCAGGTGCCTACTCTGTCCCAGTCAGTGTGCTTGGTACTGAAGGTAAAGAGTTAAGAAAGATGGTCTTTGCCCTCTTGGTGGTGGTGGAAGATTAATCTTGAGGACTTCTGTCGCATAATTTGAGGCCAAAGCACACCAATAATTTGGCCATTTATCTGTGTGGAAAGTCAGCCACATGATTTTTGAGCCCCTCCATCCCCAATACACATGAGGGCTTATTAATAGCTCTGTTTATTCAGGTTCTTTTAATTATTGATGAATTTTTGGTTAGGATAGTGAGACGCAAGCAGTAAGTATCAATATAGAAAATGAAAAGTTCTAAGCAACTGGATATTGTTATCGATATTGCAGATATTTCAGGACCCAGAGGCATGTGTTTACCTTTTTAATTCTAGCGGGTGACATGGTTGGTATCACCTGTCTTTCCTGTGCCTGGAGGAACTTGTGCTTAACTGGACACTGGAATTTGGGGGGACACTTGGGATTCTACTTGGAAGAGGATGTGAGCTTTTGACTGGAGCTCCTTTCTTCCTTCCTAATATTTATACATTTTCTTCCCCTTTCTTGCCTTATTGCATTAGCTATGGTTCCAGTACGATGTTGGAAAGTAGTGGTGAGAGGGGACATCTTTGCTTTATTCCTAATTTTAATATGAAAGTGTCAAGCTTCCCATCATGAAGCATGCTATTAGCTGTAGGTTTTGGGGTAGATATTCTTTATCAAGTTGAGGAAGTGCTCCTCTATTCCTAGTTTACCACTATTTTCCATAGGCCCAGTCACCAGGTGTATGTCTAATGGAAGAAGCAGAAAAATAATAACAAGAGAATATTTTTTGTGAAGATTATTAATGACCTCCATGTTGCTAAATTCAGTGCTCTGTTCTCAGATCTCATTTAACCTGATTTATTAGCAAGTATTTGATATAGTGGATCATTCCTTTTCCTTGAAATACTTTCTTCTTTTGGTTTCCAGATAGCACACTCTCCGATTTTCTTGCCATATTACTGGCTGCTTCTTTTTGGTCTCCTTAGCCAGTTCCTTTTCATGTCTTCAACCTGTAGACACACAGCACTCTTGGACTCAGCCCTTGTACCTTTTCTCATCTTTATCCATGCTCATTCCCTTGGTGAGATCATTCAGCCTCGTGACTTTAAATACTATCTATCCACTGATGACTGCCAAGAGCATATCTTTATCCTGGACTTCCTCTCTGTACTCCACATGTATACTCTGATCAATGTGTCTCTTTGGATATCAAATAAGCATCTCAACCTTACTATCTCCAAAACTGTTCTCCCAAATGTTCATGCTAATATGTTCCAACTTGCTAGGCTCACCCCGCCTGCAGTAGCTCAGGCCACAAAATCCGAGAGCCATCCTTTATTCCTCTGTTTTCTCCATATTCTACATTCAATCCAGTGGCAAATCCCACCTTCATAACGTATCTGGACTCCTACCACCTCTCACTCTGCCCACTGCCGCCATGTGCGCCAGGCTTATTGCTTCTCACGGGGTGATTGACACAATCGCCAGTCTGCCTCCCTGTGTCCTCCTTTGCCCCATCCAGTCTTTTCTTAACACCACAGTCAATCATCCATAAAAACATGTTATATCATGTCATTTCTATGCTCAAACCCTTCTAAGGGTTTCCCATCCGACTCAGAGTAAGTGCGATACAAAATCTGCCTCCCCTTTTATTGACCTTGCTGTCCTCAGCCGCTCTGGCCTCCTGGTTGTCCATCAAACAGGCAGGAAAACTCCTGCCTCATGCACGACACCCTCACCCCCCACCCCACACCACCCCACTTGCTCTTTTCTCTGCTGGGAACTCTTTTTCCTCAAATGGCTATATGGCCAGGTCCCTCAATTCCTCCAGGCCTAGGATCGTAGGTCACCCTCTATTTAAGCCCCTAAATCCCCCATGTACTGCCTGTCTCCCCTCCCCACCCCCTTTTCTCCTCAGCAGCCCTCACCTCTGAGGTTCTCTCCTGGGTGGATCTGCTGGCTCAGAGTCTGTCACTCTTGCTGGACAGGAGGCAGACACCGTGTTTCCAGTGCTTAATCGTGTGGGGCACATGATTGAATGAATGGATTACCCAAAGATGAAAAGCAGAGGAAAGGGGGAGACAGGAGCGGGGTGTAAAAGGAAGAGGGATTTAAGCATTTGGTGGTGCAGAAACTCAAGTGTTCACAGGGGAACCAACCCAGTTTGCCCTCCAGCTCCTGCCTCTTGGGGCTTAAATCTGGCGCTTGGAGGAAAGGGCATTCCCCTTCTCTGGGGATCCAGGAGGCTGGGGAGGGGACCCCTGTGGAGGTGAAAGGGAGAGGGGAGCTGGAGGGATGGCATAGAGAACACCAGCTAGTGTGCCAGGCCCAGGACAGAAGACTTGACCTAGCCCTTCGGGTTAGATGGACTGAGACACAGTCCCAGTGTGGCCACCTACCAGCAGTATGACCTTGGACAGGGTGCACCGAGGGCAGGGTGGTGGCAGGGTTCTGCTCTGGGGAGTAGGCAATAAGGAGTACCTGACTGTAGAGAACTTAAAAAATCAATAATATAACCAACTAAAAGTTGATTGGATGAGAGCAATCAACTGCTTTTTATTGTCACTGTGCACTGCTAGTCAGCAAACACTCTCCCTCTATGGTATACTAGTTACTTGGGGGAAATTATTTTACTTCTCTAAGCCTCAATTTTCTTGTCTGTAAAATGGAATGATCCCTACTTCCCAGGATCTAGAGGATTAAACCTGAAAGCCTTTGAGTGTACACTGTGTGGTTATTGTCATCCATTCACCCCCTGCTGTCTTTCCTCCCTCCTTCCCTCTTTTTCTTCTGCCCCTTCTCCTCTCTCTTGCACAATCCTCCCTTCCCTTTGAAGCAGTCATCCTGTTCCAGCCCAGCACCCCACCCCCTTCCCGCTCCAGCAGGTGCTCATTACCCCATCAGCCATTCTGGGGCTGTCCCAGTGTGGGCTCAGCTTCCTTCAACCCTGACCAGCCGGGCAGGGTGGTGGGTAATTGGGATCAGTCAAGCATAACCCCTGTTCTGGGATGAGCTGACACCATCAGCAGTTTATAGTTCTGAGGCATTATTTCGCCAGATTGTGCATAACACAAGCCTCAGTCATTTTTAGGGGGTGGCAGGTGGGGAGAGGCTGAGGAGTCACCCTGCAAACCCCAGGCTGAAGGTGTTGCTGCTCCCACAGTTTCTTCTTACTGCTGTCAGTCGGCCTGTAATGTAATCCTGAGATCTGCTGGCCGGGCCCAGCCACAGCACCTCACTGTGCTGCTGTAGTGTGGTTGCTGGCTCATCGCCAAGCTGTCTGTGCAGTGGGGAGGAGGGAGACTGCTGGGAGGGAAGGGAAGAGAGAAGGTGAAGGGAGGGGGCTAAGCCTGGTCTGGGTACCCTGGGCTCCCTGTGGCTGTGTGTGTGTGTGTGTGTGTGTGTGTGTGTGTACACACGTACGCACTCGCATGGGAAGGAGAGTGACAGGGAAATCCCAGATGCTAAGAAGGCTTTGCTAAAAGCCACCTTCTTCAGAGTGTTTCCATTTTGCCCAGAGACAAGTTTGTGCTGGAGAGAGGCCCTCACAGGAAGGTGTTCATGTTGAGACCTGCCCTGTGGGCAGGGAAGCTCCGGAGTCCCCTAGCAGAAGGAGGGGCCGGTAAGACAGGTTGAGCCCACCCCTGCCCTCTCTACCCCTCTGCCCTCTCAGACTGATGACCCTGAGATGGAATCTAAACGCCTCCCAGGAGAGATAAAGCACCCCTCTGGTTCGGGCCCATCCCCATCCTCCAGGCGGGATGATTTTTTTAGGTTTAATCCAAATTCCTCTCATTCACAGAGCTTCACCGGTCCAGGGTAAAAATATTGCATCTCATAGACATAAGGTCAATTTGCTTCAACAGACCTTTACGGGCACTGATGTGTGCCCGGCATTGTGTTTAGGTGCTGGGATGGCTGGTGCCCAGCCCTCTTCCTCTGTCAGGCTCAGTGGTCCTATGTTTCCCTCCTCTG